CACATTTCATTATACAATATCAAAAAGTCACATTTGTTAATATCACCACCAATCTCATTGGAAAAGCCTTTATATATTGGGATGCTGTCAGGCTTACAGCGTGAACACAAGTTTTCCAAAATTCTAATTTTTGCCTGAAAGCTAGACTTTTGTCATTGGCAACAATAACTGTTAGTTGTTTACCTTGAAATGAAATATTCACTTTGTTCATTGTTAATATATTGTGTGTGTGTGTGTGTGTGTGTGTGTTTGTGTGTGTGTATGTAAGGTATACGATATGGGTTTTGTTATAAATATACACAATGAAATGATTTACTAGTCAAGCCAATTAACATATCCCTCATTTCACATAGTTACCTTTTTGTGTGTGTGTTAAGAACATCTAAAATCCCTCTTAGCAAATCTCTAGTACACAATACAATATTATTAACGATAGTCCTCGTGTTCTACTTTAGCTGTCTACACTTCCTCATCCTGTATAACTGCAACTTTGTACCCTTTGACCTACATCTCCCCATTCCCCCTACCTCACCCTTACTTCTGCTAACCACTGTTCTACTCTCTGTTTCTATGTATTTCACTTTATTTTTGAGAAAATTTCTGCAAATACCAAGTTCCACATAACCATAGTTTGTCTGTAAGTCATAAATATGGTGTTCCATGGCCGGGTGCAGTGGCTCACCCCTGTAATCCTAGTTGTTTGGGAGGCCAAGGCAGGAGGACTGCTTGAAGCCAGGAGCGTGAGACCAACGTGAACAACAAAGCCAGACCCTGTGTCTACAAAAAAAAGTTGTGTTTCATGAAAAAAAGTGTCTAGTTCAGCTGGCAACTCAAACATTTGCACCAGTGCTTTGCCTCAACACAACCATCATACCTCAGTATATAGTATTATAGAATTGCTTTGAATGCTTCTTACGTTGTCAAAATATATATACACAAGGGTCAATATTTAATCAAATTAATAACTTTTCCTGAGTAAACAAGGGCATTATTAAGTTAAATGACTTTTTTTCTTTTACTGTGAGTACATTGACAACTGTAAGTTGTCCTGATTTGCACTAAGAAACCCACAATTTTACCCACCATCTCTGTTACACCATCAGTGCAAAGGCAGCATAGTGAAAAAGACAAATCACATTTTGGTGTTATTATGATTATAGTTTTAACCTTATGAAACCCCTGAGTCTTGGGGACCCTTCCCCTAGGGTTTAGTGGACCATACTTTGAGACCCACTGGCCTAAAGTACAACCTTTAACAGGAAGAGGGGATGGATTGTAGAAGATGCTGCAATAGCACTAGTTAGCACAAGGACATATTCTGTGTAGGGAAACTTGAAAGAATGTCAGACCTCCCCTGGGATTCTCTCTAGTAGTATTAAGAGTCCACAAGCTGTGTTCAATATTTCAAAATGCCTATCAAAGGTGAAAAAATGAAGATAAAAATACATTATAGAAATGAAAATTCAATTATGTACTGTGTGACCTATCAAGAAAACATTCATTATATGCATCCAAAATAAGTGGTAATGTTTTTCACATTACAGATTACAATATCTCACTCCAAAAGATAATGTTGCAATCTGACTCAGGGCCATGCACATGGGTCAGGTTTCATCATTAATTCGTACTGCAGAAAGCATTAAGTCAATTGGGGCCTCAAAAGAGAATCACACAAAATTTTCCAAGATAAAAAACCAGCAGAGTACCTCGGGGAAGCTCTCGAGACATAAGTAGAGCCAGCTGGACAACTGCTGACCTTTATCCTGAGAATTTGCCTGCCCATAGGGCATTGCTCACCTTCCTGCTGCCACGCCCAGCTCTGGCATGCATACTTCCTCTTCTCCAGGGGGATCCCAGACTAAAGCTTCTTTCCTTGTTTTTCTTTAGTACACTTTTTTTAAAAGTATTTTTTAGGGCCAGGCCTGGTGGCTCATGCCTGTAATCCTAGCACTCTGGGAGACCGAGGCAGGAGGATCACTTGAGCCCAGGAGTTTGAGGCTGCAGCGAACTATGATGACACCACTGCACTCTACCCAGGGCAGCAGAATGAGACTCTGTCTCAAAAAAAAGAAGAAAAAAGAAGTATTTTCAAAAGGAAATTCAGTATAAAAAAACTGAAAGAGAAACAAAGAACACACAAACAGCATAAAATGGTCAAGGTTCCTGAAGTCAGCACTCTGTCCAGATTCCCTGGTATCTCTTTCAGAGAAAGCCTAAAACCACTCTCTCCCCACTTCTGCATCCTCCATCCTCCTCCTGCCATTTGAAGCCTGAACTCAAACCTTTGGCCTTCATCTCTGATTTAAAGCTTACACTCCTACTGAGGTCCTTGAGAAGTGAGAACAGTAACACTTCAAGTTATTTTCAGCTTAGTTAACCCCTTGGTGAAAACAGATGATCTAGGTGTAAGTTTTGAAAGGATAGCCCCTGAGGGAGCAAGAAGAATCTAAGAAATGTTCTCACTGGGCAAACAACTAACAATGGTAAGGTACCCCTTTGGGAAGGGGATCATGAAGGGTGTTGTGAGTTCTTGCACATCACCTTTGACTTGAGAGGGCTTTGGGGCGTCTCTGAAGGATCTCAGGCAACCTGATTAAGCAGACAGAACAGGGGGGCAATATTTTGGTGAGTGATGTTG